TGCAAGAGGGAGAATCACAGTTAGATGAGAAATCCCAGAATGAAGGCGTATTCTGTCCTGTAGATGACAGAGACACATTTTCAGGAAGCAGAAAACCAAACAGAAACTTAAAATCCGCATTTGAGAAAAGAAAGTAAATTTATTTATTCAAATATGATAACATGAGACTACATTAAATTTTGGGTACTTTTTTTTTTTTTCTTCTATGTATCAGCTATATCAAACATGTTATTGCTACTTTGACACTCACGTTTGGGTGTGAAGGTATTGATCCACTGTGAGAGGTTTTGGACCACCAAACCAATCAATCAAGAAGATATTCTCAATGTCTAATTTGAAGAACTCGAAGTTGTGATTCTTGGGCCAATCTGTTCACCATCCAACATAAATAAAAATCTCTTTAGTTGGTGAGCAAAATATGAACAATGAAATTATGAAACAACTGCAGGTGGTATGTGAAATCTTTGTGTAATTACCCTTCATCTCTGGATGCTTTGAGAACAAGGCATTCTTAGCAAACTCTGTTTCTTTGGAATCTTTATCAGCAATCTTCAACTAAGCAAAACCAAACGTTCCAGGTTAGTCAAAATTAAAGTGATTCCTAGTTTCCCTCGGGATAGCATGGATCAAAAATAAACTTGCTGTTGCAACACACCTTTCCTGTAAGTGTAATCTTTGCACAAGTGGGGTTCTCAGGGTCTGTCTTCCCACAGGTTCCAATAGGATGTTCACTAACTGTCAACGAAGCCCTCTGGTCTTTCAGTGCATTTCTTGCAGTGGGATCCAGAGTTGTCAAGTAGAAGTATGGGATACCCCTACCTTTTCCAGGTTCTCCATCGCTAAACGAGACCACATTCCTGCATTGTTTTTTTATTATTATTTTGACCTTCATATACAAGGGCTTCAGCCAAACATGGAGCATTATTTGGAGGAAAAGGCAAAATGAATGAATCTATCAAAATTAGAATCAGAGTGAAGAAAATGGCAATATGCATTACAAGCGCACTCTCCTGTCAGTGATCTTTATGGAAACACTTTCCTCCTAAGGGGCAGAAATAAGAAACAAAGAAACGAAACAAAATTTTCATGTCATGCCTCAAGCCAACCCAGCAAAATACTTTTCGTTTGGGGCTGATCTTGCAATTAGCACTAGGTATTATATCTGAAGACAGCAGTTGAAACTTGAAACACAAGCAGCTAATATACGAGGAAGTAACGCAAGAATATAGATAAGAATTATAAGCAATAGAAAAACTTACCCAAAGGGTGCTCCTCCCAATTCGCTTGAGATTGTACTGCAAAAACAAAATGATAAGTGAGCTTCAATATATCACAAAAACACAAGTCAATATTTTTCAAGCAAGATTGACAAGCAATTGGGACTTGTAATAAACAATTGAACAGTTATCAGATTTCTATTTGACATTTGTATTATGAAGAATGAAACTTGTTTAGATCATATTGATTCAATGGTGTTCTGTTAAATTTCAGGAGCAGAAAAGTTCCTTCCTTTCTTTCCTTCACATAATTTGGGTTGACTTATTCATAAATTATCCAT